CACCTAAGTAAGTTCTATGAGGAGAGCATCCTGAGGAGAGATTCTCCTTATGTCATGGGCACGGTGGTTCAGAACAGCCCCGTCAGTGAAGGCTGGGTCCATTGCATGTCCTGCTCACACTGTGCAGACACACCACAATGATCTCCCTGCATCATGGCAGCTCTTTACTGTGACACTAAATAGTGATCTGGATTCTGGACCCGAGATTCTGTGCCGTGGCTATAACTGTGGGACCTAACATATTATTTTCATCATTGTGTTATGCCCGTGATCCTTCTGAAGTGTGTCAATCTTAGTGGTCAAGGAAAGACTGAGGTGTCCGTTTGTAAAAAGGAGAGGAAGCACATGGACTCTTGTTCACTGGGACTCCAAATGGATAAAATAATGCCACATTTCTCTGCACCAAAGGAGCACAAAACAGAAACATGAGCCTCTCACCAACACCCCAGAGGATATAGCTACCAAGAAAAAGAAACATTTTGGAATATTCTGGAGTTCTGTGAACCTTGTTTGTCCTTTATCTATCTTGTATGATTCTGGGGCTTGACAGGAACAGGTTTGGCAGGTTTTGCAGAACTTGAGGTTTCTTTGATTTCTGGTGTGCTCTTTAAGAAAAAGAAAATGAAATTACAAATACAAGGTCTGGGGCTCAGGATAATAAGGATCCCTGGAATATAAGCCTAATTTTTTAGGTGACAAATCTGCCTTTGGGAGTCCACAAAGATCATCTTTTTCTTCAAGACTGGAATGTTATGGTAATGTTAGTTAGTCCTGACATTGGCAGATTCTTTAACCCCATCCTTCTTTCCACCCCAGTACTTGACTCACTTTAGTGGATATTAAATTGAGTATTTTCACCTCTATCATTTAAAAAATAACAATTTTATTGAGATATAATTCATATACTATAAACTTCATCCTTTTAAGTGTACAATTCAGTGGTTTTTAGTGTATTCACAGAGTTGTGCATTCATCACTACTAATTCTAGAGCATTTTCACCACCTTGTAGAGAAGCTCTGCACCACTGGCAGTCACTTCCATTCCCTTCTTCCCCCAGCCATTTGCAACCACTAATCTACCTTCTGTCTCTATGGATTTGTCTGCTCTGGACATTTCATATAAATAGAATCATATGATATAATGCTTTTTGTGTCTGACTTTTTTCATATAGCATAATGGTTTTTGTTTTTGTTTTTGTTTTTAGCAAGTTTGGCTATTGTGAGTAATGCTGCCATTCATATACAGAAGCTCTGTTATTTTGATCTCTGTTACAGTTGGAGTTAGAGTTTTTTGTTTGTCTGCTTGTATTGCTTTACTTTGCTCTATTTTATGCCAACATTTCTCTATGGGTATAACATAAGTAAATATATGAGAAAATGCCCTTTAAAAATAATAAATTATACAGAAATGGGATACTTTTATTCCAGGCTGTATCGAATCATATGTGTCAGTCATTTTAATAAGTGTTAGAAATATAGTTTATATGACAGAATCTCTGCATAAGGATTTTAGAATGACAGTGCATTAAAATACATATGTCACCCAGTAGGTAGGCCTCACTGCCACTGACTGACTCCATCCCCAGCCCAGCCAAGTGCACACCAATCAGAGAGGCACCCAGCCAGAGAAGCAGAAGATCTGTGGAGACCACNATATAGTTTATATGACAGAATCTCTGCATAAGGATTTTAGAATGACAGTGCATTAAAATACATATGTCACCCAGTAGGTAGGCCTCACTGCCACTGACTGACTCCATCCCCAGCCCAGCCAAGTGCACACCAATCAGAGAGGCACCCAGCCAGAGAAGCAGAAGATCTGTGGAGACCACATGCCCTGTGGTGCCAGAACGTGATCCAGCAGGTAGGCCTCAACACTGCCGCCTGACTTCATCCCAAGCCCGGCCGAGTGCACACTGACTAGAGAGGCCCAAGACCTGAGGTGACCATGTACCTAAGGCACTAGTGAGCAACCGAGCAGACACTGATGCAGCCGTACTGAATTGGCAACCCCAGTAGCATCCTAGCCAGACAATAGTGTCAAACCAGTGGACCATGAAATCTCCTGCCACGATGGGTAAACATCAAAGGAAAGATACCAGAAATATGAAAAATCAATATAGTTTATATGACAGAATCTCTGCATAAGGATTTTAGAATGACAGTGCATTAAAATACCATATGTCACCCAGTAGGTAGGCCTCACCACCGCTGACTGACTCCATCCCCAGCCCAGCCAAGTGCACACCAATCAGAGAGGCACCCAGCCAGAGAAGCAGAAGATCTGTGGAGACCACGTGCCCTGTGGTGCCCGAACGTGATCCAGTAGGTAGGCCTCACCACTGCTGCCTGACTTCATCCCAAGCCCGGCCAAGTGCACACTGACTAGAGAGGCCCAAGACCTGAGGTGACCATGTACCTAAGGCACTAGTGGGCAACCGAGCAGACACTGATGCAGCCGTACTGAATTGGTAACCCCAGTAGCATCCTAGCCATACAATAGTGTCAAACCAGTGGACCATGAAATCTCCTGCCACGATGGGTAAACATCAAAGGAAAGATACCAGAAATATGCAAAATAAAGAAAGTTTCACCACCAAATTGGTAATAACTCTCAAACCCTAGATCCTATAGAACAAGAAGCCCTTGAAATGTCTGAAAAGGAATTTAGAGTGATAATTCTAAGGAAACAAAATGAGATACAAGAAAACTCAGCTAGAAAACATGATGAAACGAGGAAAAGTATACAGGACCTGAAAGAAGAAATGTACACGGAAAACAATGCCCTGAAAAAGAATGTAGCAGAGCTTGCTGAGCTGAAGAATTCATTCAATGAAATAAAAAACACAGCAGAGAGTTTAATCAGCAGGCTTGCAGAAGCAGAAGGGAGAAATTCTGACCTTGAAGATGAGCTGTTTGAAATAACACAGGCAGACAAAAAAAGAAAGAAAGAAAGAAAGAAAGAAAGAAAGAAAGAAAGAAAGAAAGAAAAAGAAGAAAGAATTAGAAACATTGAAGAAAATCCAAGAGAGATATCAGAGAACCTTAAGCACTCAAATGTCCAAGTCATGGGTATTCCAGAAGGGGAGGAAAAAGGAGATTACATTGAAAACATATTCAACAAAATAGTAGCAGAAAACTTCCTAGGTATAGGAGAAGACACAGCTCTTCTGATTCAGGAAGCTCAAAGATCGCCAAACATATTCAACCCAAAAAGGTCTTCTCCAAGACATGTTATAGTCAAATTGGCAAAACTCACAGTCAAAGGGAGAATCTTAAAAGCTGCAAGAGAGAAGTGGCAAGTCACCTATAAGGGAGTCCCAATCAGACTAACATCAGACTTTTCACTACAAACCCTAAAAGCCAGAAAGGAATGGGATGATATATTCAAAATACTGAAAGACAGAGATTGCCAGCAAAGCATACTTTACCCTGCAAGGCTATCCTTCCAAAATGAAGGGCAAATAGTATATTTCTCAGACAAACAA